GGTCCTCCTCCCCCCCCCCTCGGGGGGGGGTGGGGGTGGGCGGCAGGGATCGCACTTGCTGTGCACGCGGGACGGGGTTATCTCAGCAGCGTGCTTCACCCCTTCCCCCACTCCCCCCAGGGCCTAAAACGCCTCAGTCTCAGGGGGTCTGGCTCCCACTGCGATTTGTATCAAGAGTCTCACAATACCACTGGGAAGGGTCCTCCTCCAGAGACATGACCAGGGGAGAATCTGCTGCTATCTTTCTAGCCCTCCTGGTTGCGGAGAAACCTCTTTAAAAACTGCACCCTAGAAATGCTGAGAAACAGGAAGGCAAATAAAAAAGCCCAATTGCTTTTTTTTAAAAACATGATTTTTTAAGTCAAGCTGGTGGTTTTTTGAGGCCTAGCTCATGGTTTTTGACCATTTGGGGTTGGCAATGCTGCATCCTAGTAGCTTAGTTCGGATAAGGTCTGAGACCGATCCCTTAGTTTTTCATTTTGGAAATACACCTCTACCCCGATATAATGCGACCTGATATAACACGAATCCGGATATAATGCGGTAAAGCAGTGCTCTGGGGGGCGGGGCTGCGTGCTCCGGTGTGATATTGAACTTATATCAAGTTCGATATAACACGGTAAGATTTTTTAATATCTTTTTAATACCCGAGGACAGTGTTATATTGAGGTAGAAGTGTATTTGGCTCATAACTACTTAAAAAAACTCTCCAATTTAAGTCTTGAGCTTACACATGGTTGGTCACAGGCCTCTGGGCATTGACAAGTGGGACATATTAAACAAAGATTCAGTGCCCAAAAGAAGATTGGTTCTAATAACATTAACTTGCATGAATTTTACTTCCTATACACATTACATTAAGTACATATAATGAAACAGACTCCTAATAAACTAATTTAAACTGCAGCACTAATACTGGACTATCATTTTTTTGCATTTAATTTTCTAGTTTGAGTCTGCTTATGCTATATTGTAGTATGTGAAATGCTAATATTAACATTGCTGAGATAACCTTAACCTTTGCATTTCCTGATGTAATTCTAAATTTGTCTTCTCAATTTTAGATTAATAGGTTTGTGTACTTAATTTAATAAGTAAGAGATAGCTATACACACCTATATTGGGTTTTTAAAATAAACCAATTTTTTTTCTCCTGTGCGCCTCATATTGCTCTGCCCTGCTCCCACTAGAGTTTGTGTGCCAAGAGCTGCATGGTTGGCCACTGTATATATACACACAGGATTTAGGGGTAGAGGTGGTCTCGTGTTTTCTAACTTGAGAAACAGCTTGTTTAGGATTTTGATATTGTTAATTAGTATTGTCTAGTGCCTAGTAGCCCTAGTTATGGACCAGAATCCCACTAGGCTACTTACTGTCTAGACATGGGGCGTGGGAGATGATGTCACTTACCTAAAGAGTTCACAATCTAAGGCCTGGTCAACACTAGAAAATTAGGTTGGTTTGACTACATTGGTCAGGGCTGCGTTGGGGGGGAAAATATAGTTAAGCCAACCTGAGTAGACAGCACTGGGTTGACAGAAGAATTCTTCTGTTCTGCCAATCTAGCTACTGTATTTCTGGGAGGTGGATTACCTACGCTGACAGGAGAACCCCTTCTGTTGGTATAGGTAGTGTCCCCACTAAGGGCATTGTTGCAATTGTGCTGCTGCAGCGCTTCAGTATAAGACAAGCAACAACAGATGGATACAGACAAACTCTGCTTTAATAGGGCATCCTTTTTTCCTGGCCCTTCATGGCTCCTTTACTGAAATGGAGGAGTTAGGTAAACAAGTGGGGGATTGGAGGAGCTTGGGGCCTAGACCATTTGGCTTTTTCCCTCTTTCTTGTAGATGGAGACTGAGGGGCTTTCATGAAAAACTGTCCCCTTACTCACTTTAACCAGCATACAGGCTCCAGTGTGTTCTCACTAGAGAGGTGTCTCCCTGGGATTCCAGGGGAGAAGTTTCAGTTTTGTGGGCACATGGTGAACTCATTGCAGTTTCCTAAAACCCAAAGAATTTGCCTTTGTGGGTGACGTACAGGGTGTTTCAGACCTAAGTTTATCACTCTTAACCTCTGATTCAGAAAGCAGCTGTTTTTTTTGCTGCTGCGGCAACCTGTCTCTTGCTTCTGAAGGCTCACTGGATCTGTGATATTTCTCCCCTCCCTCTTCCCCTCCTCCTCCCCTCCCCAGCCTTTGGGTTCTTCAGAATCATTAGTAAGTACCAAGGTCCCTGAGTGGTGTGAGACTCACTGTACAGTCCAGCTTTACGGCTTAAAAGCCATAGGGCTCAGGCCCTGTGTTACTCTTGTTATATTTTGTGCTTATAATTGGGGGTAGGATATGGACTAGTCACCTATCATGTCTCAAGATGAATCTCCCCTACTCTTGTACCAAATATTTTCTACTGAGCTATCCCTCCCCTGTTACTTAATTTAGGTATTTTTTGCAAAACAGTTCATGGAGAAACAATTAACATGACACTGACAGAACTTGATTATTTGTATCTCTAGAGCAATTCATACAGAAGTACCGTTTCATGGTTCACAGTAGACTGTAAACATGTATTGACTGGCTAAACCATGTAGGTCATTATGTAGGGCATGTCTATGCTACAAAATTATGTTGACCTACGTTATGTCTGTATACAGCTGCTGCAGTAATTAAATGGCTTTTGCGTGTCCACCCTACACTCCTTGTCCTCACCAGGAGCACTTGTACTGACTGTATTGTCAGTGTGCGGCATTGTGGGATAGCTTCTGAAAGCCAGTAATGGTCGATGTAAGCAATACGGTCTAAGCTTACGCTGCCTCGACTTAAGTGTGTCGACACTGATGCTCTTGTGGAGGTGGAGTTGAGTCATAATAGCAGCAATTATGTTGGCGGGAGTGAAATTTTAGAGTAGACACTTACATAGTTAGGATGGTGTAAGCTGCTTTGTGTCGACCTAACTCTGTAGTGTAGACCAGTTTATAGCGTAGACTCTGGATGTGATATGGTAGGATAGGAATATGGTATAATTGCTTTAAGACATCAGGAAGCATCTCATTTTATTTATTTATTTATTTTTAAACACACTATCTACTTAGTGTTTCTTGCAGAAAGCACTAAAATTTATACCTGCTGTTGAAGAGGTCAAGCCCCAGTATCACCTTATCAAAAGCAAGGTAGTTTTGATGTTGGTGAATTGCAGTAGTGCATTAATTTCATTATCACTTAGCCTCACTTATTTTTGCAGGGTGAAAAGTTGACAAACTCTACAAAATAACATCCTGTTCCTTTTCAACATGAAAAACTTAGGAACCTTTTCTGACACTAATTGTCTTATAGAAATTAAACAATTTGATTTAATTGTAGAAAGTGATCAGTTTACTATGAGGTTGAATCATTTTGAGGTATTGAAATTAAATTTGAGATTAGTAGAAAGCTGAGATATTAACCCTCTTGCAACAGTTCTCAGCCAAGATGTTGAGTTAAAGGATACTCTAAAGCTTTGCTCCAAACAAACTGCATTAAATGTATAAGTTCTTACAGGCAACATATCCCAAACTTAATGATTGTTAAATCTGAGCCTTCCAATTCTACATATTTAAAATTAGTTTTAACTAACCAAGATCTTAGATCATTTAACCAATCTCAGAATTTAACTCCTCTTACATCAGTTTCAGCCCTACTAAATTAATTCCTTTTAAAAGCGGTTCTAAAGACTGGTTTAAATCTCAAAATTAACTCTCCAAATAAAATTTAATAGATTCAAACTAAAGAAGAGAATCTAGAATCAGAGTTCACTGAACTGTATTGTAATGATGCTTTTTACTTTTTTTGAAGCTTCTTGATAACTTAAGCACTGGATTGTTTACAAAAAGAAATAACTGGTATTAATATATTAAAAGTATCTTCTGAACTTGTGGTTCCATTGTTGAGGTCATATGGTATAGTAACAATGACACTTATCTCTAAAATTGGCGGGGGGTGGGGAGGACAACAACCCTCCTTTCTGTATAAAAAATGCTTATATGCATTTCTAGAGCATTTTTTTTTGTTTGTGGTTAAGTCTATAAACATTTTTGTCAACATACTATATGGGCAAAATAGTTAAATTTATAGCCTTGATTTATACATACATTTTCAGAACATTTTGTGCTAAATTGGAGTGCAAAAGCTTTCAGTTGTTAGATGCCTGGCAAACGTTGCAAGGTTCTTACATTGCCGAGATGACCAGTAAAGTGATAGTTAGAGTGACAAATATGAACAGCTAATTTTCCCCCTCCCAGTACATTTCAGAAGTCACTCAGTGTCATGCTGCCCTATACTACAGTTTGGCATTTGAAGCAAAGTGCAAGTTTCCCAACTTCCTAAATAACGTTTCCGTAATTTGGTTTCAAAAGGGCAGCATGTTTAGTCTTGACTCGTCAGTATTTCTTACATTTAGCCTAAAATTCTGCAGGTCTTCTACAATATATATTTTAAATGCAATGAAACTGCTTTTTCGTATATAAGAACATGTGATTTGCAAAACCGCATGGTCATAGTAGTAATGATTAAACAGTGTCAAATAGTAACTATTGTGCATCTTCTGTGATGTGACATGCTGTAAGTTGAGGCTCCAATGTGCATAAGTCTTCATTCAGATTTCCAATTTTACATGACTTTGGTATAAAACTTCAAATTTCCCATTGTTGTTTTTATTAATACAAATTGAAGATCATTCTAACTAACTTTTGGTTCCTTTTAAAATCAGTTTGACACTTTTAATACAAATTGCTGATTACTGAAACTCTTACACAGGTGTGGAAAAATGGCAAAGAGAATTGCAGAGAAGGAGTTGACTGACAGAAATTGGGATCAGGAGGATGAAACTGAGGAGGTAAAGGATTTGTTTGCATTTCCTAGCAAGATAATAAAATGCCTGTGACAGCCAACAGTGAGGTCTTTCCCATGAGGTATAGAAAAGTATGTGTGAGAGATGTACACTAATTCTGTAAAACTGGATAAAGCTCAAGAAATTAAAGATCAAGCTGGAAAAATTACTGAGTAATAAAAGGCCCCTGTAGAAGGGTTGACTCACCACTGGTGTGCCCTTTTGCAGCCGTGCATAGCAGCTCTTTCCTCATTCAATGTCCCCTGCCAACAGCTGCTGCAGCCCTGCCATGGTCTCTCTTCTTGTGGCTCGGCCCTCCAGCCATGTCATATTTTAGTCCCACTTATTAGTTGTACTCATACCCCAGAAGAACAGTCCAGTGTCCTTAAAGAGTCTTCAGCTCCCAACTGTGGGTCCCGTGATCCTCATGTCCTTTTCTCAGGGCTCTTAGTTGTGCTTATGCCTTTCTCAGGAGCTTAAACCACCTTCCACAGTAGTTGTTAGGGGAATCCTGGCCCTCCCACTACATTGGGTTCCAGTTCACAGACCCTGTAACTAGCAGGCAAAATCTGTTCCTTTTGATTCCTTGCTGCTGCTGTCCTGCTTATACTGTAGCCTGTCAGCTGGTCTCTCACTTAGTTCACCCTTCTGTCAAGGCCAGAACTCTCAGGGCTCTCCCCTGGGATCATCCAGTAAATCCCCAACCAGAAGTATAAACTTAAACCAAATTCACGCTCCATGGACTTGACTGTTCATGTTTCTTTTATGTTTCTCTTGCTCTGTTTCTTCACTGAACACCTCAAAGAGTACACTCCCTGGAATTTCAGATCCTGCCCTTTTGTCAGGATTCCTCACCATTGGAGCCTGCTCCACCACCCAGTATTCTGTCTCTCTCCTGGTCTCCTGTCAGACTTCTCTACTTGAGAGGATCCCAACTCTCCCCCTGGACTTCTTCCTTGACTCTCCCCACCCCTAGTCCTAAACAGTGACTGCAGCTGCCACCTCCTACTCCAGACTTCCTCTCTTTATACTAACTACTCAGCTCATCTCAGAGCTGGGATTTATCTTTAATTAGGGCTGGTCTGTCCTCCAGGTGCAGCCAGGTCAGTTAATTGGTTTTGCAGACCCACATTTAACCCTTTCAATGCCAGGATGGGGTATATATCCTATCACAATCCCCAAGATGTATTGAGCAATGAAGTTAATTGTTTGCTATAACTGTTGAAAAAGAAAATGAACAGTTCAGATGGCTTATTAATTTACAGCTTAAAATGAATTCATGTTGGTGTAACACACTCTCCTTTTTTCTAACTTCTTTAGGGCAGAAGACAAAATAGTAGTTCACATGTCCTGATTTAAGTCCTTTTCAGAGGCTACTTTTTAATAGTATCATACAGTGATTAGTTCCTGCATTATACTCATTCAAATACGACTGATACATGTAGATTATGGGGTTCACTAGCTATTTCACTTTTTTTGTGGTCTTGGAGAAGACTGTATTCAGTCATGATAAAAGGAACAAGGCCTCCTGGAGCTGATAGATCACACCAAAAAAAGGCTGAATTTTGGTCTTCTGTGTGCCATGTAGGCTGCTAAAAATACTTTAAGAAATCCTGGGACCTTAATCTGATCACCCCTCTAGCTTTGTCGCTAGAATTACAGGAAGGGAATTAGCCTCCTCAGAAGGCCAAGTCCTTTTGCAGAGAGTAGAGGATGTTAAATATATAGTGGGAACCCAGACTCAAGAATTTGTTAGAATGCTTAAGGGTTTTGAGCTCTTAAGATGCATGTGAAGTAAACGAGCTTTTACAATACTTATCCAAGTTTGGTAGGGACCATTGCTTTTACGACTTGAGATACAGATAGAAGTCACTGGGTGGGCTGCTATGCCATTACTGAGGCTTCATAGATAAAGCCAAGTACAGAACTTCTGTTCGAATCACACTTAGCTTCTGTATGGGCTAATCTCAGAATTATATGTTTTGTGTTATTTAACTTGGAACACTTTGCTTAGTTATACTAGTTTATGCAATCCTCAAAATGTGAAAACTTAGGCCAGTAGAAAATGAGAGAAATCTAAAGTTATCAATACATTTTTAAAACAAATTGTATTAAAGTCCATTTATTCTGTGTTGGTGGTCAGGTTTTGCCTTATAAATGCAACAGCTTGCAGAACATTGTGCGATCATAAGTCATCACCAATCTATATCTAACAGGCCAGGAGTAGTAATGCAGGCAGCTGCCAGTTATTTGGGATTTACTTCTTCAGTATCAATATTGTGTAACCTCTGTTCTCAAAAAGCTGAATTTCTGAAGTCATTTATTTACAATAATAAAAATGAAATCAGAGAGCAGCTATATGGTACATAATGAGTAATGACAAATGTTATATAGTGTGCCTGATTCTTTTCTTTCAGAGAAGTGTATTTCTCTATTTAGGCATCTCTTTGCTGCCAAATCACTCAGGCTCTTCAAATCTGTATGGTTGCTTGAATGTCAGCTGAAGGATTGATGTCACATTTGGCAGCAGAAAGGTGACTTGGACAGTAGAAAAATTGTTCATATTACTAGTCATTCATAAGATAAATGCTCATAAAATCAATAAAAAGAACAGGAGTACTTGTGGCACCTTAGAGACTAACAAATTTATTAGAGCATAAGCTTTCGTGGACTACAGCCCACTTCTTCGGATAAAATCAATGTTTCTTTTCCACTATAAAAAACACACTTTCTTCCCTTTTTTTAATCCATTTTATTCTCAGCTTTTCATTTGTGAAGCTTTGACCTCTGGGAGTTTGGCAATGTATCTTATTGTTGGTAGTAGTAGTTGTTACTGAAGCTGGGAGTGAACGACAGGAAATAAGTCATTCAATGATTGCCTGTTCTGTTTTTTTCCCCTCTAAAATACATGGCATTGGCCAATGTTAGAAGACAGTGACTGGGCTAGATGGACCATTGGTCTGACCCAGTATGGCCATTCTTATGTTTTTACAACTGCTGGGACGCAGAAGACTAATACCACTAGTAGGTTTCTTTCCAGGGTATTTTGACCCTGCATGTTCAGACCCTCACCAGGCATTCCACAGTTTGTACTTTTCCTACAGGTGGGAACTTTCTCAGTGGCTAGTGAAGAAGTCCTGAAGAACAGAGCTATTAAGAAAGCAAAGCGCAGAAATGTTGGGTTTGAGGTAACTCTTAACATTTAAGACTAATATAGTTAGACTCTCAATCTTTAATACTGAAAAATGTGCCATCTGTGCTCTATTGATGATTATGTATTGTACATTTCGCCTGTAATTTAACTTGTATAGCAAGCTTTTTTTAAGGTACTGTAGTGGACACTGTTCAAATACCTTCTGCAGCAAACATGGATTCCTGTATTTTCAGTAACTGTCCACATAGCAATGGGAAGGGTGGAGTGGGATATAGACAGTATAAATGCCATGGTCAAAAACGATGAAAGTTCTTTAAAACATTTTGAATTTGCACTATAGAAAACTAACCAGCATTTCTAAAGACAAAGGAAACCAAGCATTTGAATAGCTTCAGTTTTCCAACAGTGGGAACATTTTGGAGATTTTAACAATAACTTAGTGTTTATTAGAGGAGGGCTGATAGACTTGCCTATTATTAAAGTTACCAGACATTTCCTGAAATACCCTATTTTCAATTGCTATAATTTTGTTAAACTTTTAACCATTTGGGCTGAAATTTCAGCCAAAACAGTTCAGCCATTTATGAGGATGAGGTTAGGGGAAAAAATACATTGAATTTTGCCGATATTAAAAAATTCTGGAGACTTTTTCTGGAAACAGGCAGAAGGTATATGTGTGGGAAATAAATTTTCTATGTTTTTATCTGAAATTATCATGTAGTTGCAGGGCTTTGGAGCTGTGCTTCGGCTCCGGAGCAAGCTGCAGGCAAAAACCTGCAGCTCCACTGCTCCGGAGCTGCTCTGTGCTCCAGCTCCAGGCTCCGCTCCAAAACCCTGGTTATAGGTTTCCATGTGTTCAGCAAAGCAAGTTATTAATGGTTCTTTAATGCAAGATACATTCTTGCTGTGGGAGTAGATCAAATTGTGTTTATCAACAATGCTAGTACAATGTTTAATTACTAACATCATTTCTTCCTGCCTGATTTCCACATACTGTACAACATGTACTTCTTAAAATAGGGCATTTTCCTACTCATTCATTACTAGTCCTGCAGATTTTGTTCTCAAATTTGTCTTCCTATTCTGAGCGTTTTGTTAGTTGTATGAGCTCTTCTGATCCTCTCAAGATGAGGTGCATATATAGGCTTGGAAGGATTACATTTTTATTGGCAAATGTTGATAGACGTCTGTTTCACCATACGCACGTACCGACGCAAATATTTTTCTATCAACAATACTCAAAATTTACAGATGGGCAAAGTAAGGAAAATGTTACTTGAAAACATTGTTTGATTTAAGGATATTTATTTTGTGTACATATATGTTGGCAATTTGTGTTTTAATAGTTATAGAGCTTTACATTTTTGAATCAGCGTCTACTGTCACTAAATAATTGTCTGACCGCCCCGTTCCCCAATTTTTGACAACTGTGAAAATTTAAATAGATTTAAAAAATGCTTAAAACTAAACAGGTATCTGTTGAAATTAAAAAAAAAAATAGAATTCTGCTAAACTTTAGTTATGTACCTTTGTACTCATATGGTCAGTTGCCTGAGCCAAAGTTCAGTAATTATAAACATTTGTTGAAAACAAAGCATGTATGAACTGGAAGGAAATTGAGGTCTGATTTCTGTATATAGTGGCTAGAAAATTATTTTTATTTGTCAAATGTAGTAAACTACAGAAACATAGTACTTGTTTGTTTTTGTTTTGTTTACTTGTAGGGATTCGGTACCATTCATTTCGGGGGGTGGGGGGAACTGTTTTGCAGTAGTGTTTGATTAGTACTAAGTAGATGAAAGAATTTTTGTGGGTGAGGTGTATGTAACTGATTGTATGTTTTTTATTTTATTTCAGTCTGACAACGGAGGAGCTTTTAAAGGGTTTAAAGGTTTTGTTTTACCTTCTGGAAAAGGAGGTGGTGGCTTCACTGGATTTGGTAATGGTACAGAAATGAAGCCTTTAGGAGGGCTGTCGAATGGAAGCAGTGGTATTTCTAGTACTCCCTCTTTCACTAGTGTAAAGACTGCTTCTGAAGTGCAGCCTGCATTTGGTAAGTTGACTAATACTTTTATTTGTATTAAAAGAAATTGCCATACAATTAAAAAAAAGTCTCCAAAGTTATTAATTATTTGTTTAAGCTAAAGTGATGGTCCAAACTTTAAGTGACAGTTTTTCATTGTAACAGTAAAAAAAAGTTTAAAAAAACTCTATTCTCTGTTGGGTTTCTTACAAACACTTTAAACAAGTGGGAAGGCAAGTAATATACTCAGTTTGATCTCCAAATATGAAATTTGGAAACTAATTCATATTTGGCAATAGATTAAGTTAGAGGCTTTCTGAAAAAAGAACGATTGGGAATGGAAGACTGAAACATGGTATAGCATGCCAAATTTATGAAATCCTGCTGATAGAGTATTTTAATTTTCATTTTAAATATGTTTAATTTTTCCTAAATTCCACAATTTAGAGGAATAAAATTCAGTGAAAGTAACCCATCAGATGTGACTGCTTCAGTTGCAACTCTCATTATTGAAAGATGGATCAGATAGTGTTTAGATCTTAAGGGAAGAGATTTAAATGACTTTCAAGCTATGCTTTTTTTTATTTTATTTTGTTATGTATAAAACACATTGCTAATCTACTTAAAATCGAACTGAGCATATTGAGAAATTTTACTTTAAAATACTTGTGGATTGCTCACCATAAAAGGAATTTTCCATTTTTTTTTAATTTAGCCATTGTGTTCTTTATAGTGTTTTCGAAGTAATGTTAAAATATAGAATCAGGTGGCCAGAATCATGAATTGTTTTCGAAAATAACTTGTGACAACTACTGAAAACCTGTCAGTACAATAATCTGAAACTGTTTTCTGTACTGCAGCTTCCTATAGGCAAATTTGAACTAATGATGATGGGTTACATTTGAATCCAGTGTTTTGTATATTGTATAAAAATACTTTTGGCTCTAGTTTTCTGGAGTCAAACTGACAACTTTTGGGTTTTCATAATGCTTGTGTCCTATCTCCTTCTGGTGGTGGGGTCATCCTTTACATTTTTCCTTGAATGAAGAGCTAAAACAAATTTTGCTATTTGCTCCATAGAAACCCTAGGTGGAGCTATGGACATCTTAGCTGCAGACTTCAGGATAATTGATTCCCAAAGCTGTATGATTTTATGCTATAGTGAATTAATCAGTAAGAGAATGTTTTATAAATAAGATAAATTTAGAATGTATAAAGAGATTGTATACAAACAAAAATACTCATCCTAGTGTAGGCTCTTCATTATGGTATTCGTTCAATTTATTTTGAGATTATATTTTCCAGCACACAGGTCTTGTGGCTTCAGCGTTTTTCCAATATTTTGTAAACATTGCACACCTTACCTTGTAAATACAATCTTGGCATTTACAATATTTCAACATATTGTACTGCAAAACTGTCCTAGTAACTAGACTTTCATACATTGTGTTATGACACTTATAATTTTAAATAGCTTGACAAACTTTGATCCAGACTTTGAAACAACTGCCAATCTTCAACACTCCTTGAAGGGCACTGTTGAATACATCATCTTAATAGCCAGCACTGATCATGCTTACTATAGTGAAGGTGGTAAAACTTTCTCTTTATAACCACCATTTTCCAAAATAATCATTTATGATTTAATTCTTTGCAGATGGAACTTTTCATTTTGAAAGATGGGTCGTCTTCGAGTAGTGTCGGTATGGGTGCTCCACTATAGGTGTATCCACATTCCTGTGCCTCAGATTGGAGATTTTAGATAGCAGTGCCCGGTTGTCCTGCATATGCGCGCTCCCTGTCTTGTGCTTTGTCTCAAGGCTATCTAGCACTGCATGGGTCATCCACCCTGAGTTCCTTCTCAACCACTTTTGGCCTGTAATGAAGCATTAGCAGAGTCCAAGTGACAATTTATTTCTGAACTATATTTCCAGTAGATACTATAACTAGTAGAGTTTACGTTATAGTAGTACTATCCTTTTTCCTTTAAATTTTTTTTGGGGGGGGATGGGGTTTGAAAAGTTATCTCCTGGTCCATAACTGATTTTTTGTCATCTCTTCCCATTTGGGAAGCGAAACCCAAAAAGGGGCATTGCCAGTTCTCTTGAGTTTAAACGCGCTGTCTCCTGCACAGAAGCTATTCTGGTCATTCACACAGCATTTGTTGCCTCAGAGAGTGTCAAGTACCACAGAAGTGTACTTTCTGCCTGAAATTAAAATCAAGAGTAGGAAAAAACCGTGAACTGAATCTCCGATTCCTCATGATGGAAAGTTCACTTGGACCGCCGTAGAACAACAGTTCCCAATACACCCATTGGTGCCCTCAGGACATCACTCGGGTGGCCTCAAACTGGAAATCTGGTGATTCTCAAAAAAAAAGAGCTACAAGTCTCCAGACTAAAGAATTGACCAGGAAAAAGAGATCCCTTGCAAAATCGTCCACCTCGGTATCGACAGAACTGTGATTGGATACCCATGAAGCTATAGGCTCCTCAGGTACAGGTACTGCCAGTAAGCCTAAAGACCTGAAAGGCACAGGGATGTCCGTACCGTCAGAGGAGAGGAGTGATAGAGAGCACACTAGCTCCTTTAAAATGGCACTACTGGAGTCACGAAGAGCCTTGGTACCAAGCATCTCCACTACACAAAAGACTAGAGCACCTTCTTCTGCCCACTTATCAAACCACAGAAGATTACAGGTACGGTTGACCCTTGACAACGATGGTCCCTTCTCTGCAGACTTTAATGTTACTGATTGCTACCAAGGTATCACAAGAATTCCAATTCTCCAAAGACCTATTGGTTTCAGAAACACCTGAATCCCCGTTTGTTGGTGCTGGCATGACTGCAGTACCGACTACATCTTGATCCCCTGAATTCCCCATGGTACCAAGACCATTCACCATCAGCCTCCTTGTCTGCTCCACGTCTATCTAGTGAAGAAGAGGAGGATGACTATGATACATATTCAGTCTCAGTGCAAAGCTCCCCAAGGTAATGTCAAGAGACTAGTCACAGAGCCACAGTATCGATATAACAGACAAGGCCTATCCACTTGGTATGGACACCCATACTCTTCTCACCACCCCAGTGACTGTACTGGGTCCCATGGGTAACCTATAGATACCAGTTCTCTAGAATCTCAAGAGTTTTCCTCTATCCTGGTGTGAGACAATCTCCCTCAGTTTCCCTTTCTAGACTCCCGGATTCTTTTTTTTTTTGTTTTTTGTTTTTTTTTTTGGAACATCAACTTTTGAGGACCAGGAAGCAGACTGGACAAGATTGCTCCAGCAACAAACATCTCCTCATCCTCTCCAGATGAAGCCATTATACCTCCACCACCAACCATGGTAGATGACGTCAAACAGTTTCAGGAACTCACCAAGAGAGAGCGGACTCACTTCAGCTCCCCCTCGAAGAAGAGAAGGAATCGCAACGCAAGCTGCTTGACAACCTGCGTACATCCTCGTTAGCTGATACTGCCCTTTCTCTCGACAAGGCCCTACTAGACCCAGCCAAAACCATCTGGCAAACACCAGCCACAATACTGCCTACATGTAAAAGGGCCGATAAAAAAATATTATGTCCCCTCTAAAGATGTGGACTCTATTTTCCCATCCACACCCAAATTCTCTTGTGGTACATGCTGTAAATGAACATAGCACACAGCACCACATAAATCGACACCAGATGACAAAGACTAGAAAGACTACTTATCTGGCAGGAAATTGTACTCATCAGCAACCTTACAATTTAAGGTTGTATTTCACCACAAGAGCCTGATAATTAGCAATCACATAAATTATATGAAACTCAGTGTCTCCATTGAATATCACCCAAATGATCAGAGAGCCATGCCAAGCCATCATCGCTGAGCATCAGCTTCTAGCAAGAACATCATTATACACCCCATTAGACGTGGCTGAGATAGCTGCTGGCTCCATATCTACAGCAGTGTTAATGAGGAGAGCTTTGTGGCTTCACCTTTCCAGCCTCCCAAGAGAGGTCCAAATGACTGTGGAGGACCTTCCATTCAAAGGATTCAAACTCTTTGCGGAATAACAGATGAATCCCTCCACACACTAAAACACTCCAGAGCCACGTTGTGTTCTCTGGGGATCTATACACCTGCACAGAAAAGGAAATACAGCAAATCTCAGACATCACAAAGATCCTAGCTTGCTCAGTTCCTTCCATCTCAGAGACACTAGGAACCCCAGTGGAAGAGACAACGGGTGCAGAAACAAAGGCTGACAGCTGCCCAAACCTCAGCTTCACAACCATCAATGTTGAAACATTAGTTTTTGATGCATAGGTCGAGGGCCCGAGCTACCACCCCCACTATCAGTTGTTGCAATACTCAAATCATTGACATCCTTTTGGATACCACCTTTTCCCAATTTTGTCAAAAAAGAATAAGATAACGTCAGACAAGTAGGTACTGGAAATCATTTCCAATGGCTAATTCCATCCACTTTACTTACCTACCTACCTGCCCCGCCCCG